TTGGCTATAGAGAACTCTGCGCATACTCTAAAGCTATGAAGTTAACATTGCCAATTCAAATATTGCCAATTTAGTTTTTGATCCCTTCATTAGTATACTTTAAAATATTTTGAGATGGGCTTTTAGAGTTAACTTTATTTTTATGAAGTGATGGAAAATGCTGGAGTTTGGGGTTGTTCCCCCCCCCCCATCACTGTGCAGTCTCCAGGGCCGTTTGTTCTTCTTGATCTGAAAAACTCATGGAAGAGTTTTCATGTGATGCCTTCCCATGGGATATGAAGCCAGTGAGGCTGCAGATGGAGAAGTTATTGTACTGGGAAAATGAGATACGCATTCTTTTAGCTACCTTGTGACTACATTAAATGCCAGCATGCCATCCTTCATGCCGAATCAGAGTTTCACCAAAACGTTTTCTCTGCTTAAAGAAAACCTACCCAAAACCTTTTTCGTCAAATGAGATGGAATAGTCACACATGGAAAAGTCTTGGTCTAGTAATCAATAGTTAAAAACACATGCTTAGCATTTTAAAACAAACTTTATATGTTCTTTTTCAACAGGAAAAGAAGATGAGGAAATTACAGTCAGCTTTTGGAATGGCAAGAAAGCCAAAGTCCCATTAGGCCTTGCCTTGTGGATTCCTTCAGGGCAGTGGGAGAGGATTGTAGAGATGATCCATATTCCCTACACAAGCAGGAAGCAGTCTGAGCGGCAGCTTCAGAGGCCTGGCTACTACAATTGTTCATGTGGGACTATTCCAACCTGTGCTTCGGGTGATTTCCAAAGGTGTGGGGGCACCCACTGCTCTTTTATCTGTCCTTGCTATAGTGGTTTTCATCACACATGCTCATTGCTTAGACATAGGCAATGTGTCTCCTGCTGCTGCTCCTGTAAATACAGTGGCTGTTGGTCGCGGCCCTCTTTAGCTGAATTAATCTCTGGAGATTTTAAAAAAGAGTTCACTAATACACCTACAACACCATGCTTACCAATAGAAGGCTCCCCCAAAGTAGAACATGCTGCTGTGCTAACCAGCTCTTCCTCATCCTCCTCAGGTTCTCAGTGTGAAAGAGAAAAACGTGTGACCAAGAGCACAATGATAGATCATGCAGTGAACACAGATTCTAGTCTTTTTGAAAATCCCACGTCAGAGGAAATCAGAAGACCAGAGTGGAGGTACTGGAAGAGAAGCCATCCCAGAAAGGGCAATAACCACTTATACTAGCTTGGTTAGTTTTCAGGAATAACTTGTTTGGATGATAAAGCTCTGATTATAAAAGCCAAGGTACACAAGATCTCCCTTGATTGATCTCCAGCGGATATCTAGAATCTGCTGGTCTCACATGAGGGTTAAAACCAGGCCACAATGGGTTATTCAGAAAACCCAAACCAAACATACTATGGCTTAGTGTGTTGTTTAAACCAAGCTATTGTGATTTACTAGCCATGATTTATTACTTAGCATTATGTGTAAACCCAGTCACTGTCTCAGGTGAGTGTTTATTAACTAATGATGGCTCACTCTGCAAGTTGGCCTACATTTAGCATATTAAACTTGTCCTTTGGCCCATATCTATATCTATATAGATATATAGATATATATATAGAGAGAGAGAGAGAGGGAGGGAGAGAGAGAGGTTAGGGGGAAAAAAAGAGAAAGACATTGCTTGCATCTACAGATGTTGCTATGCTACAACTTACTGTGGATCATGCTGGCTAAGGATGTTGTGAAATGCCATACAGTAATATCTCAAAGATTGTAGGTTCTCCAAACCTGGCCTGCAAAGCAGAGACATTTATGAATATTATAATGTCAATGGAAGTGAAGTCTTCTATTACAGACAATTTCATATCTAATTTCACATTTGAGAAAGGGCAATAACCACTTATACTAGCTTGGTTAGTTTTAAGGAATAACTTGTTTGGATGATAAAGAGTGATCAGCTATGCATAACATCTAATTTATGAGTCTACTTCAGTGGGAACAAGGCCAAGAATTTATATGCTGACTGAGGTCTCTTCCACATGGCAGTAGTAAAGTGTTGACATTCTGTGCAGGAGCTGGCAAAAATCGTGCCACCCTAAGAAGTGTGCTGACTGCACTTTCAATCCCTACTGCCTTGGCAATAAAGCAGAATAGGAATTTCATCTGAGCCCTAACTGGGGAGAAGGGAAAATTGGGATGGGGAACATTTGCTTTAGTGCTAGTCACTGAAAGAAGACCCATGGGGCTTCTGCTGCCAGTTCTTCAATCCCATGGAGTCTTTCTCCCCTGCTTCTCCCCCCCCACCGCAGATTTCTTCTGACATCCCTGGTTAACAAGAGAAGCAGAGGACTGGCAGCAAAGTGAGTCTTCTTTGCACTAGTTCTCCTGGCATCAAAAAGAGCCACTTTCCCCACTTCTCACTGGGGAGAGGAAGAGGGTGGAAACAGCTCTTCAGGCAGCATCCCAGTAGTAAAGCTGTGGAAGCTTTACTGTGAGGGGACTGGCTGCAGAACCCCGTAGTAAAGCCAGTCCCCAGTGGATTTGGACATCATAGTTCTCCCCACAGTTCAGTTACCCTCTCCCACAGCTTAGGCATTCCAGTGGGGGAAGAACGGGAGGGAGGGCACCTGTACTGGCGGGTGGGGGAAGAGCTTAATCTTACTGTAGGGGCCCTGGCTGAAAAGCCACTCCCACATCACTTCCCTTGCCCTCTGAGAAGAACTAAGATGACCTTCCTCTGCCACTCCTGAGATGACAAAAGAAATGGGAAAGCCTGAACTCTTCTGCTGCTAAACCTGGATGGCCCTGAAGAATCAAGGGCCAGGGCCTGGGCAAGGGGTGCAGCCTCAAGTGGCTAATAGGAGCAAGGCTGCCCCTCCCCCCAAATTTACTTTGGTAGGATGCACTTGAGACAGACCAGATGGCATGGCTTGTACTGGGAAAAGCTGGAAAATGGCCCCTTAAAAGACAAGTTCAGACAGCTTTCCTGGTGGGTCAGGGGTGAGTTGAACACAATGTCACCCATACATATCCTTTAAATCTCTATGCTGAGGGACTTCCAATCCACCACTACAGAACTGGAAGACAGCATTCCAGCCCTGATATATTTGATCTTTCTTTGCAAAAGCTGCTTCTGCTCCCTTGGCTAAGCTTGGAAGGAGCTCCATAAAACCCTCTTCAGCTGAACAAGTCAAAGTTGATGGTTGCTGCATTAGGAAAAGGATCTCAAAGCCAAACCATAGGTAAGGTTTCCAACAGTGCAGTCTCTAAGCTGGCCACTGCGATAACAGAGAAGTCAGTTTTGACCTTGCCAGTAGACATGCAAAACACACTTCACAGAAGTGAACAAATGCCAACAAATTTCCTACTGAAATACAGAGGTATATTAAAGCAGATCAGTACTGTATTGTTACATTTTACCACACTGTCAGTCAATTCATGCTTTAGAAATTCTGCATATGCAGGACACATTCTGGGATACATTCAGTATTTTAACTTTTTTGTGTTTTATGTGATAAAACAGTTCCTTGGTATAGGCTGTTCACCCTCACAATCTGCCAAAATTGCTTCTAAGAGTGTAGTATTAAACACAACTTCTCATGTTCATGATTTCACTGAAAATAGTCATTGCAGTCAACTAATTGGCAAAAGCCAAGAGTTTATAAGAGAATGCAGTCAAGGAAACAATGTTACTGACAGTATAATTTTATCTCATGTTAATAACCAATCAAGCTAAAACAGACATGGTTGTAGGTGTGTGTGTGCCTGTAGCTACCCCTTCTGGTCATTAGAGTACTCATAACAGAAATTAGTAAGTTGGCTGGTTCACACATTATGCTAAGTGACAATCAAATCACATTATGATTTGTGGGACTCATCTATCGAGTCCCATCATGGACCTCAGGCAGTTCTGCTTATGGATTTCTGACGTTTTGTAGCCTCAAGTTCCTATTTCAAACTTTCAGTCTATAATTGTTATACTATCATCTGTAGAAGCCAACATTGTCAGCAGCTGCTGCAGAACAGAAAGAGCTGACAACAAAGCCACTTCGTCTACAGATGGGTCTCCATCAATACTGTACAACCACAGTGCTATATTTGAAACCATTGAACAGTCTTGTCAAAGGCATCTTTCGGTGAATGAAGTCTTCAGCCACAGAATTACTAACTCATCACGGGGAGAGTAATTATGTATAGCATTGCTAACCCCTCTTTTTCTCAGGGGTTCAAGATGGTCTGCATAATTTTCCCTCCTATTGGTTATTATCAGAACAATCATGTAGAGTAGCTGAAACTGAGAGTCACTGACTTTGGGTCACTTAAATAAGCTTCAAGGGGATTTCCATTTGCTTCTTCCTGGCCATAATCCAATTGTAGTGTAATGGTCAATAACAGCTTAAATTTGTGCTTGTTTTAAGTAGTATAACCGCAAACTATTTACTCTGAGCTTTTCAATCAGTAATTATCATACACATAACAAGCTCATGTGATTTATTCCTTGAAGTACTTTAGTGAATCACATGTGCACACTTAAAAGATGCAATACCGTACTGTGTACGCAAATATATTCATAAAATGTGATTTTTTTTCTCCTCTTCCTGTAGCTTACTTTGCCCTCCCTAAACTTACTTCAAGGTTCCCATCTTCAGTAGCTTGGGTGTGTGTGTGAATGCTGTAGGGAGGGAAATCCCATCCCCGCTTTCCCTAACATAAGAACTTCCATTAAACTTCACTTACAATAGCACTGTTTATAAGATCCTCTTAGCTATTTCATAAGCCCTCATTGCCAGACTACAGAATTCCTGAACAGCACCAGGGGTAAAATAATTTTGAAGTAACTGGGCTTTTTTTAGATTGAGACCAATCATGCCACAAAAAAAGGATAAAAGGGAATCAGATCAATATTCTCTTAACCAAAAGGCTTAGTACTAAACATTAGATACTGATGAGTATCATGGTTTTAGTCATTTCTGTTTGGCCAAACTACTGTTCTTTTTGTTTTACATACAGTAGTACAGAGAAGCAAAATGAAATTGCTTTTCCCTACTCTACTCTTAAAGTGCCAGAACTTTAGTGAACAAAAGACAGCTCCGAATCAAGTGTTCATAAGAAAGCAACATCATTCTCACAATTTATTGGGTACAAAGAATCACATAGCATACAAGTAAAAATACATTCATGATTCAAACTATAGCAAATTTTAACAGAGTTCAAGCTATAACAGTAAAAAAATAAGATGGAGCAGAATATTCAAGTAATATAAGGCTAAAAGTATTATGTATGAAAAGATGGCACTTCAGACATTGAAATCTATTTTAATTGTTATCTTAATGAGGAGATCATAAATGAAAAGTCAGGTTTACACTTTGCCCTGGCTGAACGTTTACTAGGTGTGCTTCTCTGATGGTGTCATCATACGAAGATGTGCTGATTGTGTATGTGCCAGGAGACACTTTAATGCAAATCTCCTGCAAGAAACAAAAAAAAATTCAATTTTAAAACACAAGAACATCAGAAGGATATTGTACCTAACAAAGAAACAAATTAAGTTTAACAGCATTATGTGAAAGAGAATTTACTCTATTGATTGATCTATCTGAGCTGAAATACGTTACAGATAAAACCTACTGGAGAAAGAGGGTAACAATTCATCAGAGATGAAAGCAGCAGTCATCCTGGCAAGTACATTGTTGAGTCCTCAGTTTAAAATATACCATGTTATATTCCAATCCATTGTGTTATTGGGGTACCCATAAAGGTTACATGTTTATTTCAATAAATCTTTCAATCTGTATACTATATAGCATGATATTCAATATCTTGCAAGTAGACTTTTGTTCAAGCAATACAAGATTTCCTCCCTCTCTTCTCTTGATTTGGAAAGTGTGTCTCAGTGTGTGTGCGCGTGCGCACATTGCAAATGAAAACTATTCAACCTGCAAGTTTGTGGACAGATATAAATTGGTCATAAACTATACAGAAAGTGCAAAATGCACTGGCCTTAACAATCACTACTCTCAGCAATTCCAGCCAGCGTGCCTAATTGCAAGGAACAATAGGAACTGTGATTCAGCAATATCTGGATGGCCACAGATTCCCCAGCCCTACCACACAATGTAATGCAACTTGATACTTGCTTTTGATGTAGAGGTCTTAGCTGGAATTAAAGCAGCTGATTGGGTTTTGTGATATTCAGGCTCTTCCACTATCGGAGCATTTTTATTTTCCTAGAGAGAACACATTATAGCTTTCAGGCCTGGAGATGACTAAGTTCGGGCTATATATCAGCCATCACCTTGTCCAAATGATAAATAACACCATCCAGAAGTAACTGCCAGAGGGTATCAAGGACACCCATTAAGAATTGGTGGCAAGCATAACCTTGCAAAAACAATTTGCGTCACAATATCTCCCCGACCTCCCTCATAATTTCTAGGCAAAGAAAAATGTGGCATCACATGACTGAAAACACAATGGCTTATTCACCTAACTTTAATTTTTAAAATCCTGGCTGAAGAGAATACATTGAATGTTCCATTGCCCTTGAAAACACAATCAGGCCTTTGAAAATAGAAGCAATGAAAAGAATGCTTAATGCATTTTACAACACATTTTTATTGGATATTGACAGGGAGACTATGTGAAGGCAGCCACAGAATTCCCACAACATATAATTGGCCTATTAAGTCTCTGTTTAAGAGGAAAGCAACATTCAGAACACTTACCTCATTTTCAAATGCTCTTAGCAAGTTTTCAGATGCTTCCTTGCTGTGATAGCGAAAAATATGTGCAACTTCATGCTCTTCAAACTGAAATGGTGGCATTGAGCAGTAGTAATTCTGGAGGAAAGTTGTTGAAGAAAAAGGGATTACTAAACCCACTTCGTGTACACTTTGTGTACATCAATTTTAAAATATGAGTTGGGGTTCAAAGCAACCCTCCACATCCACTCTTCCATTTAAATCTATATTGCTGTTTTTTCAATGGCTAGCCTTGTCCTATTGCAGCCTGATGAGCAAGACTCTCCTTGGAAAGTACTCTCCTGCCACCTTCTGCCTTCAGAAGAGTAGATGGAAAAGAAGCTTTGTTAGGCCAAAAACTACATTCGTTCCTGTAACAGGACACTTGCATTCTACTCTACGGAGCTGGATTCTTCTTCTTGCAGTGGGAACGGTGATCCATTATCTCTGGAATGTATATATGGATAGTAGTACTGCATATACATATATGCAGTTGAAAATGCTGGAGTGATGGAACAGGTATGGAATGCTACTAAAATCAGCTACACCAAGGCCCTTAAAAATGCTTAAAGAGGGGCCTGAAACTGTATGGGCAACATCTGCTAAACTTTTCTGAAGGCAAAGTGAACAGGACAACAATGTTAAACATGAGTTCTTAGCGCTTGTGTCTAACATGAAACATGATGCAAAATAAAAGTATATTAATAAAGTTATATCCTGCACTCTCTTCCAAGCAATGAGTCTTCTAATACAGCTAGCAGAAGCGCACACAGATAAAACAGGAATTTGGTATCAAGAAAAGAGGGATTATGCTATTTTATTTCACAAGTAATAGTTTAACATAATGCATCCTGATTTTCCCAGAAATCAAATTAAATTAAAACAGTCATAACTGTTACTGGGTTGGGATTGTAGTTGCTTACATTAGATTCTCAAAGAGGGGCAAGTCATAATTCACCAGTCCTTTCAGCACAAGCCAGAGATCTGCTCTGGAGGGTTGGAGAAAGCTTTGGAACAAGATGGAAGATGGTACAGAGGCAAGAGGTGGGATAATTAAAAGTGGCTTTTGCCTTCCCTCTTCCAAGGGCCTCTCCGGGGTCTCAGCCTTTTCTGTGAATGGAAGGAGGCTAGCCATTCAACTGACAAAAGGCCAAGCCTGGACTGAGCCCACCCAAAGGCCTTACAGGAACCCCTTTATGTCAGAATTGCATTTCGCCTCTTTCTAGAACTGGTTACCTCACAGTCTGCAGATATACAGCCCATGTGTTCAGCAAATGAAGCAAAAGCAGCATCAAGAGAAGCATCTTCATCAGTCCCTCCCTGTTGTCAAAAACAAAATGTTACTATAAAATGTACATCCAGAGACACGTAATGAAAAGAAAAGGCAACATATTATGCTATAGAAACAGCCTTCCAAAATGCGAGACCAACCAGATATGGCTTATGATACTCTTGGACATCATAAATACAGTCTCCTCCGGAATGCTACTCAGTGCTGTACCTTGTTCCTTTATCAGGTTCTATATACAGATATTGATACACTAAGCATCTGTCTGCCCTCTTGTTTTATTCAAGTTTTCTGCCTCACCCACAACCCTGTCTTTACCTATATGGCCAAAATGATGTGATTATTCAGAAGCGGGGCTGCGTGGAAAGTAGCAGGTCCCAGAAAAGACAGATGGCCCATGAGAAAGTCTCATGTATGGATGAATCTCTGAGATATTGACAGTAGCAATAACATTTAGAGAGACAGTTGTATTGAACCAAGTGGTAGCACCAGGTTTTGTTGTGACGAATCAAACAATAGTCTCAAAGGGTAGCCCTACTGATAATCTTATTGGGTATTTAATAAGAACAGTGTCTTGTCATCTGGAAGTAAGAAACAGTCTGTGGTTTGATGTGTCAGGCATCTATCGGTTTCAAATATGGCCGAAGTCCATTCTTATAGCGCCCCCAAACCTAGATAGAAATGAAAAGGTACCCCGTGCGGCTGTGGTCTTCCCCTAGCTCTTCAAGCAGTTGTAAAATTCACACAATTCACTGTTTTAAAGCTATTCATTTCTACCCATCAGAATGCCCTAGCTGCTTCTCGTGACACCTTTTTAAGCAAAAGCAAATTTGCCGTGAGACACACCATTTCCTTTCTTTATATAAACCTTGCCTGCAGGGTAAAGAACTGGCATTCAGCTATAAGATCTAAGGCTTATTGATTAAAACCAACCAACCTTTACCCGAAAGGTCCTCCTTTGGAGTTGAGGAGGCAGTGGCCAGTTCAATTTCCGTGTTTTCGCCCGCTCCAGAACTTGCTGAGCAAGTGTTGCTGTACGCTGCATGCGATGGTTCACGCTAAGCGCGTTGGAGTCCATTCCTTGGACTCAGACCTTAAAAAGCCAAAGTTGTTCAGACGGTCAAGAACAGCAGTGGCGGAAAAAAGCCAGGAGACGAGGGGAGAACTGTACTGCCTAGCTAGCCAACTCTCTGACTCTTAAGGTACAGCAACCCCTCCTCCAGTTTTCCAGGAGAAAAGTTATGCTGCCTCATTTGCAAGGATGGCTTTCCAAGTCCTTCATCTCCAAAGACATTCCACAAACTGTTTGCTAAAGCCAGCAATGCAGGTACTTCCCGTTAAGAAAAGATCACCAAGTGATCAAGGCAAGAAGACAAAGTCACTTGGTATACTTCAGACACAAACAACTTCATTATGACTCTCAAAAATGTTGGTGCAAAAGTGACACGGTTTGGCGCTTGCTGAGGCCTGCTGGTTCATCCGAGTCTTCTTCATCATTCCTGCTTGCTCACCCTCCTTTCCTGCAGATCCAGGGAGAGCAGCACTGACAAGAAAGAAAAGCTGCATCTGCTACTTGGCCTCTCCCCATCGCTAAGCAAATCAGCAGAAGCAACAAGAAGGAGGAACGCTCCTAATAGCCTAGTTTGAGTTCAAGGCTACTGTATGCTTTTGCCACCTGACATATGCCAGCTCTGATTCAAAGACACAGCCCTACAGGACTCCATTTTCAATTAACCAGAGTCTAGTATTATTTCTGAGCCCTAATTAAGTATGAAATAAGCTGTGGCTTAATGGTACATCTGGATCAGGCCTCAAAAGAGGCAGAGTGACCTATTAATAAACCTTGAAATACACTCCTAATTAAAAAGATTGCCTTGGGCTCTGACTCTATGTACATTTTCCCTGGAAGCATCCCCATTAAAACCAACAGAACACTATTTCTCAGCAGATATGTATCACACTGCACCTTTTTTCCACATTATATCTTCAGGAGGAGATCCCTTTGCAATACTATGTGCATCAAAAGCATGATCTTGCTAAAGTTCAAAAAGTTACAGTGCATCTCAGTTGTGATTATAGCTGGGCTCATCAAAAGAATACACTGAAACTCTGTCTCCTTAGTGGCATTAGTAGACATCCGAGAGTTGTACCTGTTATTTCACAAAGTTAGTAAGTCCTACAAATGTAGGGCAAGGTAGAAGCTCATATGTTTAGACAGTTCCCATGCAGACATTATAATGCAACTGTTGGAACTTTACAAGAATGCCATTTTGATGTGCTGATCCCCCAGAAAAAAGTATGTAGCTAGTTGTTATGAATATAAAAGACTGTCAGCATGTAAACCTATCCTAAAAGCCAAACTTTTGGAACCCACCATACAACGATATAGGACAACTAAAGACAATTATGGGTAGCAACCTCATTGACTGGCACACTTTTCCTAAATGGAGAACTGCTTTCTTCATTCTAGTACCGTCCAGATATGTGTGGGAAGACAGCAATTTCCGACCCCCAAGGCATTCACTGTTGGCTGGGGACGTGGGGAACTGCAATTCTTATACACCCAGAGGGCGCCAAGTTGGTGAAGGTGGGTTAGACCTTATTAAGCGACCTTCAGTCAAAAAGCACGCATACGCCGCCTGGTGGCAGCCTTAGGAACTCACCGCCAATACGCGCCCTGAAGACAGCACCGCCGGACAGGAGCTGTAAGCACAGCAAAACCAAAGGAACGGAAGTGAGGAATAGAGCGCTTGCCTCCTCCTTGACAAAGCCGCTTTATCTGGAAACCACGCGAATCTCTTCACAAGAAATACTCGCTTCCCTTCGAATGACAACTGTCGAATGAGAACCGCATGACGTCACCGGCTAATTTTCTCAAAACTTCTAACGAAAGGAACTGCTTCTTGCAGCCGGCCCGGGCGGGGGGACGTTCGTTTCGCGGAACAGCAGTTCGTTGCGTCACAATAGGCTGCGTCACAGTCCACCTTCTTCCTTTCGGAAGCTGACCTGCTTTATAAGGAAGAAATTCTATTTTCATTGAATTCGAGTAATTTACTTCTGAGTTATACATGCGCCTGCGTGATTTGTCTCAGAGGAAAAAGCATGATCGCTGAGTATATATGTCAGTGGGGCTTACTCCTGGAATGCAGCGATGGGGCTTACCTGCTGTATAGTTATTTAGGAAGGCGCGTGTTTGGGATCGAGGCCTTGAATTGGTTTCGCCGGGCCAAGCCAGACAACGGATGCTTTTGGCAATTCTCCGGTTAAACCAACATTGTACTCTCGCATTTACAAGGCCATTCTGTGCATATTTAGGCGGAAGCAATGTATCCTTGTGCTCACTTGGTAGGGAGCGTGTGTTCTTGCTGCTTCGTTGTCATCCTTCGAAAGGCGGGGAGCGGAGAAACATCGCTCCAGCAGCAAACAGAAAAGCCTTATAGTTCCATTCGAACAAGCCCAAAGAAAAGTAGGACAATGATTAGAAGCCTGTCCTGTCAGTTTTTGAGGTAAGTTAGTGTCAAAAATTAGCTACTACACATCTGAAGGCGCTTTCTAAAGAGCAAATGCTTCTGAGGGAATTCCTTTTAAGATTGGAGTGCTAGTCTCAAAACCAGGTACTTGTAATATAAGTCTTCGGTAGGGCAACTCTGTTGTAAAATGGGTCCTTAATAGAATTGCTGACTGTCTCCTATAATTATTCAGTGGTTAATTTATATGCTTGTGGGTGAGCCCGGCTGCAAAACCCGTTCGACCACTAGGTGGCAGAAAGATACCAAAGAAACCCCAAACAAACCCAAAACCAAAAACAAACCCTTTTCTGCCATCAGTTGGTCGTCTGGACTTTTTCAACTCAGGTACTATAAAGTGCCTCTAAAATGTCATCTGCAACTGGTGACATTTAAGCACTGTATAGAAGAAATATGGTGCTAGATATAGCAATGTGGGAGCTTACAGTTTCCGTTAAATCAGTGTTGTCCAAACTTGGCCACTTTAAGATGAGTGGACTTCAACTTGCAGAATTCCCCAGCCAGCGAG